GGGGTGGTGATAGGCTTACTTGGATATATTTAGTGTTGTGTGTTATAAGGAATTTGTTCAATCTAGGTGTGTATTTTGCCTTGGGGTATTTATCTAGATGTGAATGATAAACATTTTAATTAATGGTTTCATATGTGTATGTATATATACATATCTTTTATCTAAATAAAAATTGTCATCAAAATGTTCTTCAGATGTTCATTATATGTTCCTTATGATAAAATTTTTTCAGAGTTTTTTTATTTTTAACATCTATTTATTATTGAGAGACAGACAGAGCATGAGCAGGGGAGGGGCAGAGAGAGGGGGAGACACAGAATCCGAAGCAGGCTCCAGGCTCTGAGCTGTCAGCACAGAGCCTGACACAGGGCTCGAACTCATGAACTGTGAGATCATGACTTGAGCTGAAGTCAGTCGCCCAACTGACCGAGCCACCCAGGTGCCCCCCTTATGATAAAATTTAAGAGCTGCCTCCTGGGCCCACAGTAGGTTTCATTGCACATTTATACCATGCAGTCAGTAAAAACCATCATGTGCATTATAGTTGTAAATGAAAGTGAGCCAGCTGTAGGCAGTAGAATTAGGTTTTTGTTTTTTCATCTTAATATTTTCATGTATTTGAAAAGATTTTGCATAGGGGTGCCTGGGTGGTTCAGTTAAGTGTCCTACTCTGGATTTCAGCTCAGGTCATGATCTCACCATTCATGGGTTCAAGTCCCACATTGGGCTCCACGCTGACCATGCGGAACCTGGTTGGGATTCTGTCTCCCTCTGTCTCTACTCTCCACCACCACCACCCCCGCCCTGCCTTGCAATAAATAAACTTAAAAAAAAAAAACACTTAAGAATATATAGATTCCTGGTTTCCTTTAGAGATGGAAGGATCTAGCATATTTGGCCCTGTCTTCCCCACAGCAGCACCACAGTCTCTCACTAGAGTAATGGCTGCTTGTCATCATAGTTGTGCTTTTCCCACTTCCTCTCAGTTGCTCCCTTTTCCCTGTTTCAGATGCCTGGTCTTTCCCACTGACTGGTACTGACTGCCTGGTCTCTGCTGGCATTTAGCTTGCAACACTTATCTGTGTTATTGACAGGGAAAAAGTTCCTTGTATATTAAGTGAAAATTTTGCTTTTATATAAAGTGTAGATGAATATACATGTGGAAAATTAAAACTATACAGGTTTATCTCTATTCTCTAATTTTTATATAGTGACCATAGGGTATATATGTAATTTTTAGAAATCTTGCACAATTGTGGATAAAAGAGTATATGAATAAATGTTCAGAATTCTCTCCAGTATTCAATTTGACTGTATTATAGTTTTATTAGGAGCAATATTAGTGGCAAATCTTGATGGATTTAGTTAACTTGAATTGCACTAACCCACTTAGTTGTGTGATCATTTCTGTTACTAGTTAGTATAGCACACTGTAGGCTTCTCTTTAGAGCGTAGTTGTCACAAGTGTGTCTGAGATTTGAGTGCAGTAGCACTTTGGGTCAGGAGGTGTCCAAGGCAGAGTTGGGTCACTACAAGCATCCTGTCTTTTCCCACGGTGCTATAGAAATATTATTTGATCTACACAATGATGTGGAGAAAAGTTGGAAGGTCTATGCTAGAAGATGTGCAAATAATCCATGAAAATACTAGAAATTACATACAGTTGACCCTTAAACAACCAAGGGGTTAGGGGTGCCAACCCCTGCACAGTTTAAAATCCACATAAAACTTCTGACTCCCAAAAAAATCTGTTGACCAGAAGCCTTAGGGATAACAAACAGATAACACATATTTTGCCTGTTAAGTATGTTAAATACCGTGTTCCTATAGAAAAATAAGCTACAGGAAAGAATCATAAGAAATACACGTTTACTAAAAAAGTCCACATGTAAGTGGACTTGCAGAGTTCAAATGTTGGTCAAGGGTCAACAGTGTTTACATTTTGATGTCTTTTTTAATTCTTTCTACTTTTGTATTTAAGAGGTGTGCACAATATGTAGAGCAATAGAGTACCTGAATTATTTAAAGTCAGTGTTCACAATGGGTTTGTGCGCATAAAAACACCTATTATTGGGGTACACAATCAAATCTGGTCACTGAACAAAATCTGTAGCTATCTGTTGAAGACATTCTCCTGCATAACAACCAAAAACAACTTAATTCAAACAGTTTAGTCAAATAGTAGCATATTAAATGCTATAATAGCCTTTCTCTTTTCTTTAAAGTTAAGAATTTACATTATTTTCTTGTCAGCACTGAAAGAAAGCATAGGATATACTGTAGTTATTTGGAGGCTTTTCTTATATTCCAGAACTAACAGTTTTCTTCAGGTTCTTGTCTAAATTCATAGCTTTATTCTTTGGAGATTCAGGCTGAATTTTTCAAGATACTACTAAAGATATTTTGTGTTTTGTTTTTTTTTTTAAACAAAAGTGCCGCTTGCCAAAGATAATTTTCTAACCATTTCTCTATTCTACCCTAGATGGCCCTCTGCCTGACCCATCTATGATCCGTGGCAGTGTGCCAAACCAGATGATGCCTCGGATAACTCCACAGCCTGGTAAGTTATGAAAGAAATCCATATATTTATTTAGCCATGGCTTTTTTTTTTTTTTTTTTTTTTT